GTTGCAACCTTATAAAATCCATACCCAAATTAGAAACAGGGGAGTGCTAGAATTATTGATGTTATATTTTTAAGCATATTAAATTTTCCTCAAATAAATTTTAAACTCCTCTTTTTTATTTTTTATGAGTAGTAATCCTATGAGACCTTCCCACATTAATGTGTGTAGGACTCTAAAAGAAACACTATTAAATTTGGTACAAATCTCTAGAAAAGTTAAGTCTCTCACCTATGTAATAACTTTTCTAAAGATCTGTGTCAAATTTAATGGTGACGTTCTACACACATGAGTTTTTGCCAAAAAGCTTTTGCCAAAAAGCTGTCAAAATTTCTAGAGACGTGTGTCAATCTTTCTTAGATTTTTAAGTCTTAAAATACCCCTAGATTTTGCCAAGAGGCTACATTATACTTTGGCTTAAATAGCCAAAAAAAAAAAAAGTAAAAAAGTGTGCTAAAAAGATGGAAAAGAAAGTTACTTAAGCTTTGCCATTGCGTCAACAGAATGCTGGAATGAAAGAGGAAACAATAATAAAGGAGCAAAAAGGGTGGTTAACATTTCAAGAAACGAATGTGATCGTGAGCCGATAAAGACTAAAGAGAGAACGAGATGGGTATCTTTGTCATTCAAACAAAGCATGGGAGCCTTTGGGAAAAGTTTATATAGAGCCGAGGTTCTAAACAATCAAATTAGAGCCCACCTCAAAAATTTCATTAGAAGAGGTTGTTTTGATGCGTAAATATCCTCAATTTGATCTTGACATCAAGATTGCATGGACATGAGAAAAAAAATGGATTTTAATTTTTAGAAATAGTGCATCTTGTAATGTATTTTTGGACCGTTAATTTTCAAAATTTTCAAGTTTCATATATTTACTTGATCGACACTATTTTTTAAACTTTAAATTTTATAATTAAAGATGAAAATATATTTTCTATCACAAATATTTTCGATAATAAAACTATATTTATCGATACTATTTGAAGGTGCTGCTTTACTTTGCTTGTTTACTGCCTGTTTACTTTGGTACAAACAACACTTTTTTTTTTTTCTTTTGGGGTAGTGGGAGGTGGGGGGTACCTGGGAAAAATTTATATAAGGTTGCAACTTTAAAATGTAGAATCATATATGCACCTCAAAAATCCATCAAAGAATGTTGTTTCAATATTGAAAAACCCTCTAATTGATCATCTCGACATTGAGATGTATGATTATGAAAAAAATAGATTTTGAGTTCTAGAAGTAGTGCATCTTGCAACACATTATCTAGACTGTCCATTTTCAATATTTTCATATGTTTATAAATCAACTTGATTTTAACCATTTGATTTTTAAAATTTATAATTAGATAAGGAAATAAATTTTCAGATAATCTTAAAAAAAATTTACACCAAAATTACATGTTATAATAAAATTTAGAGGCACGCCTTAATTGGATTGTGTAAAGTTGCAACATTATAGAAACCACACCCTTTTTATAAATAGGCATGATTTGTATAAGGTGGAGGCCCTAAACAATTAAAGTAATGTACACTTTCAAATAGTATTGAAAAAAGTTGTTTCAATATTGAAAATCTTTGTGATGATCTAAAAATTTCCTTTTACCTCTAATTATAAAATTTAAATCTTTAAAAATAGTGTAAATCGAGTAGACCAATGAACACTTGAAAATCAAATATTGAAAATTGATAGTCTAGAAAATGAATTACAAGATACATTATTTTCAATACTTGAAAATTATTTTTTCTGATGTTTATATATCTTGAGAATGAGATGATTGGTTTGAGGAATTTTGGGCATTGAAACAAACTCTTCTAGTGAAAATTTGAGGTGAGCCTTAATTTGATTGTTGAGAGTCTCACCCTTGCTTTTTTTTTCTTTAGAAATAGAGAATGTTTTTGAATACCATAATGAGAATAGAAGCTTAAAAAACCCCAACCCATAGTTAACAAGTCACCCATTAAAATAGGATTTTTTTAAAAAATCAAACTCTGAGTTTTTCAAAAGATATTCAAAGAATTGCTTTTTTTTTTCATTGAAACGAAAATAGAGGGGTATAAATAAATGGAAGAATGAGAGAAAGAGAAGAAGAACGATATATTATTCCAATATGTATGGTCTATGAATCATCTCACATAAAGAAAGGTGACAAAGCATCAATATTGATTGGTCGATAAAAATAATGTAAACCCATATTTTAACTTTTTTAAAAAAAACTTCTTCCATATAACTTTATTTTTCATTAACTTATATTATTTAATTTTTATTTTAAAAATAAGCAAATTAATAGTAGGAGTAAATTAAGAATCTTGATTTAAAGTAAAATTTCATAAAATGTTCCACCAATAATTTCCCTTAAAATAAGTTTACAAAAAATTACAAGCAATATATTCCCCAAAAAATAAGATATCAGAACAATCGTATATCTCAAAATAATAGGTAGAGTTAGAAGACGAACCCAATAAAAATCTTTTTTTTCCCCCTTTAAACCAAGTGCATCCTTAGAAAGAGCATTTTGTATAAGATTCAAAATTGCTTATTAAAGATTTGTATACTAAAGATTTAAGTAGCTAGGGATTCAGTATGAGATTCGAATTTACTTAAACATTTTGTTGCTTTCTTTATATATAGAGAAGTTTGATTATTATTATTATTATTATTATTATTATTATTATTATTATTGTTATTATTATTATTATTATTATTATTATTATTATTATTATTATTATTATTATTATTATTATTTATTGGTGTATACAACATAGCATTTTAGATGGGCAATTTTACGTATTTGGGTATGAATTTTGTTTTAGTTAATTGCAATCCTATTCTGGGGGTCTTTTTTGTGTTTTTGTTCTTCAAACAATAATCCTATATCTTAGTTTATAGTTCTTGTTTTCTACTATGTAGTTATTGTGTTAAGTATTATTTATATTTCATTTTATGCTCCAAATAAATCTATGATATATTTCGTATTGTGACTACAGAGTAAGTGTTGTTTTTGGACTTATTGAAAGTTTAGATTACAAATTGTAAAGTATCACTCTAACAACACTAGGTAAGGTCATAAAATTATTGTTCAATAGCTTTAATGTATCTATACAATAATTACAAATCATAATCCTATATTATGCAATCTTTACGGATCCGATTTTTTCACTCTTTTTTACTTCTAGACAAATCCCAAATTATTCACCACTTTATAACTTACCTCATTTTTTGGCTATCCATATTTTTTACCTGATTTTTTTCACCAAATTTGTGAAAAAATATGGATTCATTACCTATATTTTGGCTCCACGATATATTATTTACTATGCCTCAACCCCGTCGTTAAGCTCCAGGGACACTCACGGTGAATGTGATGCCAATATTATCCCCTGCCGAATGTTAGGACCACTTTTGTTGCTGTCTCAGAAGACAAGGGCACTAGTGTCAATCGTTACGAGGCACTCGTCAAACGACTCGATCCAATATAATCGAGGGTCGAGTGTAAGAGTTCACAATTAATTTGATTTTAAAATTTTAGTTTTTTAGTTATATTTATTTACCAGAAGACAAGGGCACTAGTGTCAATCGTTTTTTAGTTATATTTATTTATAGTTATATTGCTGTCTCAAAAGACAAGGGCACTAATATCAATCTATACGAGGCACTAGTCAAACGACTCGATCCAATATAATTGAGGGTCGAGTGTAAGAGTTCACAATTAATTTGATTTTAAAATTTTAGTGTTTAAGTTATATTTATTTATCTTTATCTTGAATTTATTAGTGATAATTCATAGTTACTTAAGCGGAAATTTTTGGGGCAATTCCGTTAAAGATAATTCTATTAATTTGTGTAAAAGTTTTACCACAACAAGTATATATATTGGTATTTATAAAAATCTACCCATCAAAATTACTCAGATGCTAAAAAAACTTCCAATTAATATTATCACCTTGAGATATATGGGTGTGAAAAAAAAAAAATTAAGTTATAAAAATAGTTCATCCATAACCTGAGGTCCTGCACCATCCATTTATAAGATTTCCAGATATTTGTATGCTCAATTTACAATAATTTGGTTAAGCTCTAAATTTCATAATTAGAGATAAAAATAGATTTTTTGATGACCACTAGGTTTTATGGCACCTATATTGCATCTTTAAGTGGGTGTGTGCCTTACTTGATACCCTATACAAACTTCACTCATTAAATAGTAAATAGTGAACAATATACAAATTTCACTTATTAAATAATAAATAGTGGGTCCAACAAATGCACGAAGAATAGGTGTGGTTTTATTTTACGATGAATTTAGACCATCTCATGAGAAAAGTTTTTACTGTAGTATTTTATTTCCATATGCAAATTTTTTTTTTTTGAGCGTTGTCTGAGTTTCATTGATAGGAGGATAGCTGAGTTACAAAGTGTTACAAGTAGCATAGCAAAAAAGAATACGAGAGAAGAAGAAAAAAACGTGGGGGAAACGTAATTTACATATGTAAATATTTTGGAATATTTACCCGCGAACCAAACGTACTTTAAGGTTGGGACCGACCCAACGTAGCCAGGCTAGACTGAGATCCAACGCAACTCGATTATTGGATCTATATTTTTGGACCCACACTTGATACGGTGGGTCCAAAAGTTGGTTCTGGACCATGACCTGCGTCGACCTGATTATCCATCTACCCGCTTAGCTACATAGCCAGGTGTGTGCTAGACTGGGATCCAACTCGACTTGATCATTGGATCCATATTTTTGGATGCACACCTCATACGTCGGGTCCAATAATTGGTTCCGGATCATGACCTGCGTCGACCTGATTACAAGACTACCCTCTAAGCTACATCGTTGTCATTGAAAGGACATTTTCGTACATCAAAATAAAAAGGGTTGCGTTCTTGTAATTTCTTGGAAACCTGAGGGCAAGAACCCATGAGAGGAATTAAGGGCTTTTTGTTCATTTTCTTATAAGGACACGATCGAAAGTTCTTGTTGAATAAGGGCATTCTCGGAATAGAACCTAGCCTACTCTATCGAGCCATGGTTCCGAGCCTTCGGCCTCTCAGAGTTAAATATGGAGGGGCTGTTGCAGAGACCATTGAAAAACGCAGAAACCCTAAAAATGGAGGCCATTGCCTTATTTAGCCATAACCCTAATTCGAGGTGTTAACGGCGTGCTCCAGAGGGCTTTTAAAACCCTAGATTTTTTCTTCTTCTCCTTCCCTTCAAGGGCTCGCTCTGAGAAGAGGCGGCGGTTTCTCGCCTTGGCTCTTATGCCTTTAATGGCGGCTCAACATTGTTGTTCGGAGACTGTGTAGGTTACGCTTAGCTGAAATTCTAGGGTTTTATTGTCGAGGAAGGCCTTAAAAAGTAGGTTATCATTGAGTTTGAGTGCTAGGTTGTCCTTTTACAGAGAAGGGTTGAGTTTCTCCCTTTAGTCAATGCTTGCTCAGTGAAGTGCTTGAATGTCGATGAAGGCTTGAAAATTAGTTTATCAGAAGGTTGAATGCTAAGCTTTTGAGTGTGTTTTGTCAGAGAACTGGAGCCTATCGTCTCAGAGGAGTGTTTTTTGGTTGAAGAGATTTGATGTAAAGTTTTGATGCTAAGCTTCACTTTTACAGAGAATTTGAAGCTTTTGGTTACCAGAGATTTAGGCAAGAGAAGGTGGTGGAAATTTGAAGGGTAGTCTTCTTCAAAGTTTCAGACTCAGAGGCTTTAAGCTTTTCAGTACGGTAGATTTTCAAAGCCTGAAACTGAGAAGACAGTCTCTTTCTTCTCTGATACTTCTTTGAACTATTGATATCTCTTCAAAAATTTATATTATATGAGAAACGGAGGTCGCATTTTTAAATTTCGGTTTAGAGAGAGAAAGTCAGGAACACCAGTGTTTGAAGAGGCTTCATTCTCTGCAAAATCAATTAGCCTCTTTATCATTCTATCTTTGATGCTTCATCAAGAATACATTAGTAATGCTCTGTATTCTCTCTCTATTGAAGAGAAACTCTTCGAATCCTTGAGACTTTCTTTTGCTGATCAAGTAACGTGATAGGAATACAGTTTCAGGAGCACTGAAGCTTGCTTCTTTGATCAATAAACGCTTTTATCCATCAAAATGAATTTGTGAAGGCTTGGTGTCAGGTATTAAACAGGCATTAGCAGGGAAAGCTCCGTATTTTGGGACATTTTTAGTGTAAGGCGCCAGAGCCTTTTTTTGTTTCTACATTTGAATCAAAAGCTGTATCAAAGCTTCAATCTCTATTCAATCAAACGCCATTTCAAAGGTATCATTGCTTGTTCATTGCTCTAAAATGTCTTTTTAATTCCTGATTATTGTAGATCTAGAGAGACCTGTTCAATGACTCTATAATCTTTAAAGCTTTTTCACAGGAAGGATCAGACAATAAAATCTTTAAAGCTTCAATTGGAATGTCTAAGGAGGACATCATGAAGCTTGCGCTGTCTCTCTGAACCAACATTGTTGAAGTTCCGTTAACAGGCTCCAAAAGCTTCAAAAAGCAGTGGTTTCTCTGAATCTCTGCGACATTTTTGTGGATTTAAACACAACATTTGGATCGCTTAGCTCTCAAGAATTAGGGTTTCAGGTTCAAACTTAAGAGACGGCTATGGAGTTTCAGAAATTCTTAATTTGCAGTGGAGTCTTCACGGAAGACTGAGGTTTGAAGTTTCAGCAACGAAGTGGGAAATGGTGACTGAGAAATTCGTAAGCTCTAATTCCTCCTTTGATCTTTTTTCCATTTCACTGAATTTACAGTTTGTCCGTTTCCCTGAATTTACAGTCGGTAAAAATTGATTTCACTGTTCCATTGTCTGGATTTTGTTTCGTTCTTTTCCCCTTGAGTAGCGGGAAATATCTTTCCCTCTCTTGATTCACAGGAAAATGCCCCATACTTTGTCTTGAACGAACAAAATCAACCTGCCAACAGAGATTATGGCAAATCTAATAACCTTTTGAGGGTTGTTAAAGAACACCTCATATTTGAGATGGACGGCTCGGATTGTTACTCATGTTTAATCCAACTCTCTCAATTTAAAATCAGTGTTTTCCCTCTAATTCAAGCAAGTTTACCTCAGGACTTATACGAAATCAGAGCAGTGGGTCGAACCAGTCTCCCACCAGTTTCCCTTCGAACCAGCCGACTCTGAGAGCCGGCTTTGCCAAAAGATTCTAGAAAATGTAAAATTTAAATCTCAGTTTTTTAAAATTTTAAATAAAGTTGAGAATTCTGAAATCACTTTAGAAACAATATTTCTAGGACATTAATACTAAAAGAATAAATTCTAGGGGGACATTGTCCTACGCACAATTCCATGTCCATTGGGGACTCGTAACAGTCCTCTAGTTCTGGATCCAACCGGGAAAACCGCCAATCCGGTCCGCTTTTTTAATCAATGATGTGTAGTATACAGTTGTTGAATGTTTTTGTGCTTTGGATATGGTTTTATATTATAAAATTTAGGTATAAAATGAGTATTTTGGTCCCTTAAACTTGAATTCCTGCAATCTAACCCCCAACGGTCCTGGGGAAATTTTTGAAACATATATATCCTGGCATTTTTCCTAATTTTGAAGCGAATTTGGCTTATATTGTGCGCAAAATATGTTCAAACTCCAAAATATGGCTGCAAATAGTAAATTTCCCTAAGTTAGCTTTAATTATTCAAACTCAGGCCTGAGTTACTTGGACTTTGGCTCCTTGCCGAGCTGACTACTCAGGTACCACACGGTCACGTAAAAAGTAAAAAAATTATAAAAAATATATTCAAATCAGTGTAAAAATTATTTCTATAATTTGATTTTTTTTTTCAATGATTTATGAGTTTCTCTTGTTATATTTTTGCTCTTTTTGGATTTTTCTAAAACATCTCCAACCATAGATCAAGTTTTTTTTTTAACTCGTAATTTATATACTTTTTTAGTTTTTGTGAACTTCTTGCGGTTTTGTTTCAGTTGAACAATTTCTATTTGTTTTGAACAATATTTTGAAATTTTTAAGTTTTTTCTGGCCATTTTGGTATGTAGACTACTCGGACTCCGCCGAGTTACTTGCCTCACTCCAGCCGAGTGCAAGACAGAGCGAGTTAAAAACCATCTGTAATCGCAGATATTAGAAAAAGACAAACATTCAAAACTAAATCTGGTGAAATCAGCGCCTAATTCAGCTTATTCATTTCAAAATTGGGGCTGACGAGAAGTTGATTTTTTGGTCGAAGCTATTGCCGCACCGAACTTATATTTTGGACAAGGGTTCTGGGTTTATGGGCCATTAGCCACATTGTTCAGTTATTGGAAAAGTTTGGCTTCCTCTTTGTATCATTATTTTTCTTGTCTTTTTATTGTTCTGTGCTTCTGTTTCTACTCTTGGTTAATCAATGGTCTTATTTAACCTCACTTTGAAAACAGGAGATAAATCACGGTTGGACCCACAAAGGAATTGCTGAGAACTGTTAATTAGAAGCGTTTTCATGAAGACCCACTTTTGAGTTTTGACCCTTGGAAAATCCATCCGACCCTTCGTCAAACGTAATAGGTATTGGTCGTGTGCTTTCTCTCTCTTAATTATCTCTATAAAATGTTGCTTTCTCTCTCTTAAATATTTCTATAAAATGTTTGTTGATCATTATTGTCTGTGCAATCTCTGCTCGCCTGCAAAAGTTAAGAGATATTGTTTGTACAAAGCCCGCCTCTCACTTTCTCTCTCTTTCATAATCTGATTTTCTTTCTCGCTGATATTTTCTCAGACATTCCGTGTCCTTTACGTGACCATCTCTTGGCTCACCAACTATGAGAAAAAAACCAACAAAAGAAGCTCTGCATAAACCCATGAATAAAACCAAGGTTTGAATCCCTTTTTTCTAGGGACAATGACCCAACTCCTGCAATGGTTCTTGAAATGATCTGACCACTCAATTCTACAGGTTTCCTGAAACGCCCCTCTCTGATGAATTTACCTTATCTGCGCAGGACTGGTCAATTTATTTACAGTTTTTTCTGTTGGACCATTTTGCCCCCTATTTGCATGCCCCACTTCTCCAATATATAACATTGTAAATTGCTATTTTGAATTGATTGGAGACGTGGGGTCTTTTTGAAATTTGTAATGGGTTATTCCAGAGAGATATCATGGTGATTTAGCCATTCCTTTGGTTGAATCTCTGTGACATGGCACCTTCTGCACAAACAGTAAATAGCTTTGAGAACCCATAATCATGGCTTACTTTTTGGGACAAAGAAATGGAAGCCAGTGCTTCCGCAGTCCAGTTTATAGGAAATCATGGGTACGTTTGTCATTTTCTGCAATAAAAAGCAGAGTTTTCTGTGTACACTTTTCGAATAAAACGAGACCAATTCATGGGGTACAAATGGGGACCCACAATCCAAGTATTTTGGCAACCCCATATTGTCTTCTGGCCCTTGTCTTTACCTTTTTGTTCTGGGATTTTCTCTCACTATGATAACTTCATTTATCAAGCCCCCTTCCCTACTATAATTGAGACATATTTGTCAAACCACCTTTTCTTTATTATCTTATAGGAAGTCCTGACTGAAAATTCAGAAACCACAATTTCAGGCTGGAGTGGGTGGCTGAAAATTCAGAGGCCACAATTTCTGGCTAGAGTGGGGCATTTGAGTTGAGGACAAAACATGAGATTTGGGCCACTTTTCGGTTGAATTTGGATAAGTTTTGCTTAAATGTCAATGAATTCGAGTTGCGTTGGTGAAAATATTTTTGCTAAATCTGTCTGACCAGTATTTCGTTTCATTTCTGCTTAATATTGTTAATTTTTGTTAGATTTTTACTCTTAAAAATCCACCTTGTTGCATGCCAAACTTAGGAATTTTCTTTCAGCTGGTTCTAGAATTGAATTTGTCAAGTTGGGCATTTTTTCGGACTAGATTTGGGTCTGTAATGTTCTATTCAGGCAGTGTTTTGAATTGAATTATAAGTCTTTCAACAATGATAATCCTTATTAGCATTCGATTGAGCAGAAAGCTAGAAACAATACCATAATCCAAGAGATCACTGGAGATGGTACACCATTTCTACATCAACCATCCACTTGTAATGGATGTTTAAGATTAACTGGAGTTGGGGCCCACTGGGATATTCACCTAGATAAAGTTAATCTCTGACAAGTTATCAATGGGAACTGATGGTGGGTGTAGCTTGGAGTACCATTTCCTAGGTCCATTTTGAATCATATTGTCCCAAATTTAAATCAGTATCATCATTTTCTATTCTTCTGATGGATGAACCAGTGCCAACCACCATCTACATTTGTGTTTGTTACAGTTTGAAGAGGTCCCTTTAGAAGGCCAGTGAGGCTTTGACAATCTTAACTCAGCGAAATCGCGGATACTGATCACATGCTTTTCCTAAGGAAGTTGTATGGTGATATTGGCTGAACGGCTCAATCTTACTCTATATTTTCATTCATGAAATTGTTGAATAATTGGGTTTCCTAGTATGTCTTTTACCCATTTTCTTTATGACTACTTTGCAGTCTCCCGTTCTTGCTTGCTTTGAATAAGTCATTCTTGGTGTTATGGTATGTTGTCAACGTTCTATATTGCTTTTGGGAGATCATGCTGCTTTTTTATTTTTCAGGTCTTTCAGAATTGGAAGGCTTATTCTTTACTTTTTATCGTGCACATTCCTTTTCTAGTTTCCAGCCTTGAAGATACAAAAACACTAATCAGTTCATGAGTTTAGATCATAGTTATAGAACATGGAGGGATTTTCCCCTAAAACCTTTTCATATAACTTTCTTATTACCTCAATTTTCATGAACATCACCAATAAATTATTATTTTTATTTAAAATTCAAGTAAGATCTCGGAATTCTCATTAAGTCTAAGTAGTTACCTTATATTCCCCACACATTTGCCCCAATCCTTGTTGTTTTTACCCGATATTGGTGTGGTTCTCTCCTCAATTTAAAAAAGACAAACAAAAGAAGTAAACTTGGTGCTTGTCAAGAACTTGTTATGTGAGTTCAGATCGGAAAACTCAATTTTAGGGGTCCCAAGAATTCCCTTGATTCAATAATAGATATTAGGTAGCTCCAGGTCCATAATTGTTGTCAATTTATAGGTAATGTCTTCCATGTGAGATAGCTTTTATAGGCCCCATCACTATTTGGAGGCATTTCAGATTTGCACATCCCTTCCATCTATGAGGTGTTTCTTAGAGGCGTGATCTATGATCAGTGGCCCTCCCCCCATCGACTTGTGAGGCTACCTTTTCAAAGCCCCCTCTTTTGTCTTCGCCATTTCTATTATGTCGGAACAGGGCTTCCTAAATGGGGTCAGTCAGTTGTGACTGGTATGACTCTTCAATGGATGAATGGACAACATATATATGCTCCATACTCCATGAAGTATATGGTTAAGAAAGCTTTCCTTCCTGTACCCTTTATTGAAATAAAAACCATGAACAAGGGGTCAGTCAATTGAGAGGGGTGGTCTATTCTGACCCTGAGTGGTCCTTTCTACATGTGAATAGTCCCTTTTATAGGCCCCTAGGGTGTGCCGGAAACCATGGCTCTATAGGATTGAATGGTGCTTTCTATATGGGCTTGGTGTGTTTCAACTAGTATTTCTCTTGAATCGATGAATAGAAAATTTATTCATGACCCATACTCCACTGTGCTCCATGTGCATGTAAGATAGCTTTCCTTCCTTTTCCATTTATCTTGAGCATAGAGACAGAGACAGGTGACAACCACTAGAGAGAGTGGTCTGTTTTTGGCATAAGTGAATGGACCTTTGGTCAGTTGAGTGGTGGTCCAGGCTCGATTCTTGGCCCTATTGCGCCAGGTCTGGGTTTAATCTTTGCTTAAAATTCTTACATGCATGGCAGTCTTTGCACAACTTCATGTTCTTGTTAGTTTGTGCAGTGAACCTTTGGGCTCACTCCTAATGGCAAGTGGGCCCCTGGTCCCCTCTTCTTTCTCCACTAAGATGGGACAATTTGGGCTCACTCCTAATGGCAAGTGGGCCCCTGGTCCCCTTTTCTTTCTCCACTAAGATGGGACAATGGTTCTGAATCTATAAAAGAATATTTTTTTTTTGGATATTTCAGTGGGGAAGACAGGCCCTACCTATTTTTTAGGGGCTAGCTTTTTTTCCTTAAGGTGTTAATGGGTGGTGTCTAGATTGAAAACGACAGTAACTAGGTATGGGGGTGCTACCACCACGGCCCAGCCCCTTTTCCTAAAAGAATAAAATTCCTTTCTTGTCAATGGGGATTTAAGAAACCATTCAAAGCTCCACAAACCATTTAGAGGCGTTAAGCAATGATTAGCATTGATCAGTTACATCATTTAGTAGAGTTAATGAGATTATGCATGTGATCTAGAGGAGTTCAGCTTGATTAACATGTTATTTTCTAGGTTTTTGCTCATCTTTTTGTTTCTTTATGGTTTGAGTGTTTGTTTTACGAAAAACATTTGTATCTGTGTTCGCAAAATCGAATCGGAACGGTTATATAGAGCCGAGGCTATATGCAAATTCAAATTGCATATAGAGTAATTTATCATTATAAATCACATTTTAATTAATAAATTAAATCATTTTTATAAAGAACTATTGTTTCATGTGGGCTGGACCACGTTTCAATAATATGTGTCCCAGAGGTATAAAGCATCCATTTTAAAGATGGATGCAAATAGGTGGTCTATTTAAAAACAATTTTAACAATTTTAACTAACGGTCCAATTGTTTTCTTAATATAATTATTCTTTCTAGTTTTCAATTTTTATTTATTCATGATTTCCATGTTAAAGATTGTATATTCTCTAACAATTAGGATCAATTTATATTTAAAAAATACATTTATTGCCAAGCTCGCATTTCTACAACATGCGGGCTCGCCGCTTGCTAACTGTATCCTTTTATAAAAGATTTTATTTATTTTTATTCCATATGCACTCATATAAAATATAAAATATGGCAATAAATATATTCATAAAGATATGTATATGATAATTATAGTATTACATTAAAAAAATATTTATAATAAGACTTTTGTGCATTATGTCTTTTATTGTTACTTTCTAATTATTGTTTTCTATATAATATAATAAAAAGAAAATATTTTTATATCCTCTATTTTTAGCTTTCGTTTCTTGATCAAATCTAAATAAAGATTCAAAAGATACTTTCAACTTATTTTTTAACCTAAACAAATGTGAGAAAGACATGCCTCTTTTTAAATCCAATCCTTTCTTTCGCTTTACATATACTCCAAACTTCTCTTTTTCTTTCATCTTAGGTTTTTCACTCTCTATCTCCTCCCATGTTTCTCCAAACATCTCTCTCTCCTCTCGGTATCCTCTCTCCTCTCTCCACGCCCGATAACTTCTCTCGTCTTATATTTGTGGGTTTTGTGAAGTTCGTAAATATGAGGGGAGAGAGATGGAAAACGTGAAGAGAGAAATCAAGAGGAGAGATAGTGAGGGGAGAGCGATGGGAAAGATGGAGAGAGAAAAGGGGTGCAAAGGGAAGAGAGAAAGAGAAGTTTGGGAGGATGACTTTTAGAAAATGTATGCTTTTTTATATTTGTTTAGCTTAAAAAACACATTTTTAAATTAGCTAAAGGGGTTAGAAGAAATAAAATCTACAATTTTTGTGCCCCAAGATATCTTTTAAAACCTCGGATCTATTGTGAAATGAAGCCTAAAAATAGGAGGTATGAAGATATTTTCCCTATAATAAATGCACCATTAGCTATTTATAACATTCATTTTACTTGGATATAATTAAGAAACATATAAGTAATATATATGGGTGTGGTTTCTATAAGGTTCCAATTAAGGTGCATCTCTAAATTTTATCATATCATGCAATTTTGGTGTAAGAAATTTTTAGGATTATCTGAAAACCTATTTTCATATCTAAGTATAAAATTTTAAATTCCAAAAATGGTTAAAATCAAGTAGATTTATAAACATATGAAAATCTTGAAAATTGATGGTCTAGATAATGTATAGCAAGATACACTATTTTTGAGATTCAAAATCTTTTTTTTTTTTCATATTTATACATCTTGATATTGAGATGATTAATTAGAGGGTTTTTCAACATTAAAACACTTTTTCCAGTGAAATTTTGAGGTGCATTTTTACTTCTACATTTGGAAGTTGCAACCTTGTATAAACTTTTTCCAATATATATTCCATAATTATACATATTTTAAATGGATGGCGTGGAGGGGTAGCAATGGGTCTAGTATGGGTCAGGTCCTGGACCTGGGACCGGATCCTAATAGTATTCGGGTCTAGGTTTTGGATCCGGACTTGACCGCTTTGGTCCAAAAATTAGGCCCATACTTGTACATATCGGGTCCCAAGTCTAGTCAAGTCCATTGCCATGCTACTACTATGAGAAGGTTTCTTTTTCTTTTGTACCATCACATATTCGTACTATTGACAATAAGGTCACACTCACCTGTCATTAGATTTCAAGCCGTATGATTTGCTATTTAATAGCTAAATATGACTACGAGTATAGAGTTTGCTATTTAATATACCTAAACGTATAGAGTTTGAGGTAAAGTATTTTATCTCTAACGGTTTATGGGTACGGGTTGCGCCCAGCTGAACCCGAATCGAACCAAAATAATATTAAGGTTTTGGATCCATACCCAACCTGTCAAGTTAAAAAATTGAACCCATATCCGGACCCGAGTTCGTATCTGCCCCGTTGAGTCTCGGGTCTAATCGCGTCCATTGCCAAGCATGGTGGTTAACGGTCGTGTGTCCCTCGGTATACAACAAAAGGGCCACTGTGTTAATATGGACACGTGGTGGTTAGGATCTCTGTGATTAAGTTGTATTTTGTGGAGGTGTTCAATCATTTTCTTCATGCGTTCTTGTTTTATTGTTTGCTTGGTGAAAGCTGAGTATATTTGCATGGGTCAGGTGGTGTCCGTGGTGATTTCTCTTGAATGAAATGCATTTAGCATCTACGGCCAGCTGCACATGGCTTTGTGGGCAGAGAGGTAGGCTTGGGGGAAAGAAATTCATGCAAATAACGGGAAATTAAATTGAGAGAGGGAACAGATCCGTTCTTGGTCGGATCTGTCAATCAGTCCGGTTCCTTATTTTGTCAAAATTTATGTTCTTCTTTTTCGTCTTCTATTTTAATCCTTTATTATTTTTATCTGACTGATTTTCACATAGGAGAATGGATTGGATCGCCTATCTGGATCATCGATTTGTTGATCTTAGTATCCCCGATGGCTTATTCACCCGGCTGATCCACTTTTGAAACACTGGTGCTAACTCTTCTTTTCAGGTCAGGGGGTCAAGACCCTAGCCTCAGTACTCCTAGCCACCCAATTCTTGTTTACTTAATGTGGTGTTCTCTCTTTGCAGCAGTGAACTTAAAATCTCTTAGTAACTCTGGGATCCTCAATCTAACATAAATAATAATAAAAAAAAACATTACAAAAGAAAGTTTATATAAGGGTGATGCCCTAAACAATCAAATTAATGAGTACCTCAAAAATGCATTAGAAGAGGTTGTTTTGATGCCCAAAAATCTTCAAATCGACCATCTCA